GTATCACTTGAAGAGGTAGGTGAGCTCGTATCACTTGAAGAGGTAGGTGGGCTCGTATCACTGGAAGAGGTAGGCGAGCTCGTATCACTGGAAGAGGTAGGCGAGCTCGTATCACTTGAAGAGGTAGGCGAGCTCGTATCACTTGAAGAGGTAGGTGAGCTCGTATCACTTGAAGAGGTAGGTGGGCTCGTATCACTGGAAGAGGTAGGCGAGCTCGTATCACTTGAAGAGGTGGGCGAGCTCGTATCACTTGAAGAGGTAGGCGACGTCGTGTCCCTCGAAGTAGCGGACGGAGTATCCGTTGTTGAAGCAGGAGTCGACGTGCCCGAGTTGGTACCCGTGCTCGTACTTGTGCCCGTCGACGTGCCCGAATCAGACGAACTCCCATTCCCGTCTCCCAACACGTCTGCGACCGTGTCTCCCAAACCTCCGAGGACGTCTCCGACCGCTGGGTATTGCGTCAGAAAGCCGTCGTTAAGAAGGAAGCGGACGCACTCTGGTCCAAGTCTCCGAGGAGATCACGTTTCTCCCACGACTGTAAGCGCCGCTTGATGTTGGCCAAGTCGTTTCCAACATCCTCGCCCAAGTCTGCGACCGTCTTTCCCAAATCTCCCAACAGGCCTCCGACCACTGTGCGGTATCAGAATCCATCCCTTCACACTGATGGGGAGACGTACCCTGTCCTAACCCATCCAACACATCCCTTCTCTCCTCCCTCGCATAGCTAGCGCTCGTAGGTCCTTCCCTGGTGTGGAGCGAGCGCCGTGCGTGGGAGTGGGTGAAACTCGAATGGGTGCTATGTGCGTGTCCACGTATCGGGTGAGAGCAGAGGAGTGCGAGCAGGAAGAGCGGTGATAGTGAGAGCATCGTTGACTGGGTCGTGGGGCGTCGTTAGGTTGCAGGTTGCTGGCAGGTGGGCTGATACGAGATCGAGATGGAAATGAAGTCAGAGGGTTTAGTAAGAAGAGGTAATGAGCGACTGAGTGAGATCGGGGCCGTCAAGGCTGGTATAGCAGAGATGAAAGTCAAGCGAGGCCGAAGATGAGAAAGCAAAGTTGTCGCCGTAGTATCCCGTGTCGAGCGGGAAGTGACGATGAGAGAGCGGGGTTGGTGAGTGAATGTAATATCAAATGAGCGTGGATGCTACAGGCCTCCTGGCGCTGTTGCTTTGTTTACTCTCTCCTAGAGGTAGAGATATACAAGATCAGAATAGAGTTAAGCAGAATGCTGTCCTCGTCCTCGCTGTCTGTACAGATAGGGAGTAGGAGGAAAGGAAGAGGGGGGGAGGATGACGGCGGCGGAAAGGGAGGAGGAGGAGGAGAAGCAGGAGAAGGAGGGGACGGACAGCAGGACCCGGTTGTTTGGTGAGGAAAGGAACGGTTACCGAGTCCCAGGGCAAAAGGGCAACTGGAATGCGCCCTTGTTTCAATACACCTTCACGGAAGTAAATTAGGTCTGGCCATTTCCATACAGAACATGGCACGTGCTTCTCACGGAATTTCTGACTGTTGTCAACCTTCTGATGTGTCATTCACAGAAACACGAAACAAATATCACCTTGTAGTCAACCCGTTTCATTCATTCTTCACTGCCAAGTAGTCGGTGGCAACAATGACATCTTTGCACAAAACAAGAGAATGGACATCGCCTTACAAGCCTTTTGTAGTGACGGGTTTGCCTTTTATGATGCACACTGCCAGGGCTCAAGGCGATCATAGAACAGTCTAGCTTTGCCATCGACAGGGACGCGCAAAAACCTTCCCCCTTGAAGAAAATGCATGTAGTACCATTGCATAGTCACATAACCTATGGGACAACACTACACCCCTCTTGCAGCATGTCGCATGCAGCACCCATCACGTATCCGAACGAACGAGCCGATTAGATGAATCCAATCTGCACGCATTCTGTCAGTAAGATTTCAGCCAAGTACATAGAGACATACCTTGTTGGCCACATCCAGAGCATCATGATCCGCCGTGAGCCTCACATACGCCTTCTTCTTCCCGTCAGGCCTTATCAGCGTGTTGATCTTGACCGCATCAGCATCATACAGTTCCTTCACGGCCGCCTTGATCTGCTTCTTGTTGCTCCTGAGGTTGACGAGGAACACGAGCGTGTTATGCTCCTCAATCTTCTTCATCGCGCTCTCCGTGCTCACGGGGCTGATGATCGTCCGGTGCGCATCCATCCGCGGTGCATGGGGGATGCTCTTGCGAGGGTAGCGTGGGTTTTTGGGCAGCTGAAGCGTCTTTGGCCGACGGAATGTCACTGATGTACGGATCTTCTTCGACTTGTGGCTGTTGGTGCCTACGAGGGCGGCCTTCCGCGCTGCCTTGGCAGTGGCGACCTTCTTGTCCGTTACGGCTGCGTGGTGTCAGTATCTGCACATCGTCCTAGGATGAGCAGACTCACCCTTACCTTTACCCTTGGCCACGGCCTTGGGCTTTTGTGTCTTCTGAGTGGTGGACATGTCTGCATGAACGCGTCAGCATCTTGTCCCATCAACCTGACCAGAAGAGGAGGAATCCCAGGCGGGCGCTCTCATCCCCTCATGTCCTCCATCCACACTCAGGGCACTCCATCCACCTCCCACCTCCTCTCCCCCTCATTCCCAGCACCCTCACGCCCCTCCTGCAACTCCAGCACTCGCCCCTCGATCGAGGAATCAGCACTCACCGGTAGGAAGACGCGGAGTTGTCGGTGTCGATGAGGACGGGACGGTCTCCAGCCTGCAGAGATTTGGGACCCAGGGAGCGGGAGCAAAGTTTCTGTCGGAGCCGCGTTTCCGGCCGGGGGTCGTGTGAGAACCCTGGTGTTGATAACTGCCAGCGCGCTTCTCTTTGGTAACGAACAGTTCAATCTCGACTTGATATCTATTTCAGAGCGCGGCTTGCTTGATCTGACAATCTCAAGATTCCAGTGACTAGTGGCCCACTTGATCTCAAAGTCACCAAAATGGGGGAAATGCGGACCAACAACATCATCGCCCATTCTCTTGTGGACCCGACGATCTGTTTGTCATCCTGTTTACTTGCTGCCTAAACTATTCTTGGGGTGTGATACGAAAAGAGTCTCTTTCTATTTGATGGTATTACAGAACCGAAATGCTGGGAGAGCAACCAGGCAGCGCTTATTCTATTCCCATTCTGGTAATTTTTGGCTACTAACAGTCTCGACTGGCTATCGCATATGCCCTCAAATACTGCTGAATACACTCTTTACTGATATGCTGGATACTTGATGACCTTCTTGAAAAACACTCGTGACCCTCATCGTTGAGACAACAGCATGCTCTTCCGTTCGTGCCGACCTCTTTTCCTGACTCACAAGCATTCCACTGTCGCTCATCTGCTGGATATATGCCCGTCTTATCAGGTGCACATTCGCCGTTCGGATGAAATCAGCGCACACACTGAGGTAGCTCTCAAGTGCGATGCATGGAACAGCCTCAGCTTTCCACCGTGGTTTTGTGTTTGGTACTTCTTGCGGTTCAAGCGACCACCTGATGGCCCCGTCGGAAGAGCTGGATTGTTTCATGGTATCTGACAACGCACCCCTGGATCCTCTCGTATGTACGACTTGTTTTCCATTCTGGTAATATGCCAAAGGCCTACACCTCAATGCCAATGCACGACCTCTCGCTGGGGTGCGTCTAACATTCACAATATCTTGTCCGCACGATCTAACTAGGCGCAATGGCACTAAACCTCAGCCTCACATACATGACCGACCAGTTGCCGTATTTATCTCTCATATCAACCGCACACATATCCTCCACCTCCTGCATGATCTGCGCTGCCAACTCGTCCGATACCTTGTCTAGAATGGAGGTCCGGGCAAAGGTGATAAGCCAGTTGTATAGTCGACCGGGGAGCACAGTGATACGTGGGTTGAGCGAGATGTGCTCTACTTTGAAGTCTTCCGACTCTAATAACTAGAAAGGTCTCAGTTTATTATGCCCATGGTGAAGCACTCCGTACTTCGGTATATTCTTTCTCTGACGGGAAATACCAGGGATCCAATGGTTCAGGTGCGATACCATGTTTCCTGCAGACCTCGTGTATGGCAGTCCGCAGACCTGCTCACTGTTATCTACAGAAACGGTTCAACAACGGTCGCTTACCAACAATGTTCAGGTAACCACCCATCTCGGCCACGAACCTACCACCCGGTTTCAGGGCCCGCTTCACACCACGGAGCACACCAGCCGGATCGCGCTTCATCCAGTGCAGCGCAGCATTGCTGAAAGCGGCGTCAAAGGTGTGCTCTAGATCCTTATCGAGCTGAAGATCGCAGCCATCCGAAACGTAGACATTCGAACAACCGTTTGCCTTGGCTTTCTCGATCTGGAAGACGAAGATATGTAAGGCTCTGGGAAACAGTCCAACATGGACATCATCGAACCATATTGGCGCTGAAGTCGACCCCGACCACGAGTCCGTTCTTGCCGACGATCTTTTCCAAGTCAACCGTAATCTCCCCGCTTCCGCAACCTACATCGAGAATTCGCTCTCCAGATTTAGCACCCAACATATCGAGCACAACTGAGGTGAACTTGGCTGAGTACACGAATGAAGCATGCTCGTGGTAGTTGGCCGCAGACCACTTGTCGCTCTTGATTGAGGACATCCTGGGAGATTTAGTGAAGCCCGAAAGGTATATGTTGGAAGTGGGGCGAGATGGCCAGTTATGTGTGGTTAGCGGAAGCAATACGCCCCTCATCCGACGATAACCGACCAACAGTTTTGGCCGAGCAGCACTCAGAACTTGAAGAGAAATACCGGAAACGGGAGGTATATTTACTGCGACTAGACGATCATTGGAAACAGACGTATTGACAATCCCGAAAATGTTGATGTTCTACGAGATTCGGCCGATGGACATCACGAGTGGGTCGACCGAATACCCAAGCCCAACTCCGAAATGACGCATTCTTGCCTCCCAATCCAAATGGGAGGAACGTAATCGATCCAGGGCAAGATGCATGGCAGCCCTCGTATGTATAGCTCAACAACAACAACGGGTGCGATTTATTGATTTTATCTGCTACAAACACAGCACACCAGTACATGACAGGCAGGCGCTCACATATGACCCTGGATCGGCTTGGGCGCGTAAGGCTCCTCCAGATACTTGATTTCCTCCTCCGTCAGCTTCTTGTCCGGGATGATCGCTTCCTCCATCCTAGCCGCCGAGGAGAAGCCGATGATAGGGCTAGATACCTTGGTGTTAATCCAAGCCTGAGCGACCTGGCCCATTGCCCAGCCCTTCTGCTTCGCGAGCTTTTCGACACGGTTGACGATTTCCTTGTCTGCATCGCTCTTCTTCATCTCGAACGGCGTGCCCTTCGCGGTGTCTTCGCGCACAGAAGTCTCCCCGAGCGGACGAGCCAGCTGGCCAGCAGCAAGCGGGCTCCACGGGATCAGGCCAACGCCGGTATGGTTGCAGTACTTGTTCATCTCCCGTTCCTCCTCACGGTACAGCAACGAGTAGTGGTTTTGCATACTGATGAACTTGGTCCATCCGTTCTTCTCGGCCGCGTGTTGGTATTCGGCAAACTGCCATGCCCACATCGAGGATGCCCCGATGTACCGCACCTTCCCGGAGCGGACAAGGTCGTTCAGCGCACACATCGTCTCCTCGAACGGAGTGTTCATGTCGCATCGGTGGATCTGGAGGAGGTCGATGTAATCCACTTCCAACCGCTCGAGAGAAGCCTCGACCTGTTGGAAGAGGGCCTGTCGGGAGAGACCGGACATGTTGAGATAATCGCGCGTGTCCCTCAGCTTGGGGAACATCATCGTGCGAACACCAGGATCTTCATGAACCAACCCATTGGCCTAGAGGACGTGAGCTACCTAATCGTGCTTATGTGAGTGGGTGTTTACCTTTGTCAGGATAATGAGCTTGGAGCGGGGGATGTTGTACTGTAGCAATGTCAAGCTTCATAGGATGGGATGTGAATATGCATGCGCACCTTCTTGATAGCCTTCGCGATGATACGCTCCGACTCGCCATTAGAGTACACATTTGCCGTGTCCCAGGTAGTGATTCCCCGGTCCCAAGCAGCCTTGAGGAGAGGAAGAGCCTTATCCTCATTGATGACCCACGGCTGTGCGTATCTCAGCACCTCGCTTTAACATCGGACCGAATACCACTCACCGCCCACTTGTCGCTACCGAAGCTCATCGCTCCCAAAATGGGGACAGAAACCCGAAGGCCGGAGTTGCCAAGACGGCGGTACTCAACCTGAGGCAGCTGGTTGGACATGATCGTGTGCAAAGAACGAGATGGTGGTCGTAGTGAGGAGCTTGCCAGCGAGGGCTGCGGCTGTCGTGAGAAGAGCCATTTATATACGCTCCCTGACCGCCGTTGTTATGAATCGAATGACAGGGTTCGCCGGAGGGAATCCAGTCGGTTGACACAAGGTGCGGAACCAGATTATTCAAGTGACCAAACTGGGCATCTCCACTTGCCCAATCCAATCATCTCTCGCCTTTTCATCCTCGCGCCGGGTAACAATCACCTGCCACCGAATGGCCTTGTTCTCACACTTAATAGAGCTATAAGGTGTTGACTCTGACGTAGGCTGCTTCTGCTTGGGGAACATAAAAACACCACCTACCAAGTCTATTCGAGTTGTTCTCGAGTGGAGGCGCGCATGACCTGCCGCAGCACTCTTCAACGGCCCTGGATATCTTTGGAAACTGTCTGTCGAATACAAAGAAACATGGGCTCAACCAACGACTGATTCCGCGGTGCCGACTACGCGCCCTATATCGATCTTCCCAACAGCAATACAAAAACGGCGAAAGACGTTCAAGCCAATCTGCCAACAACAGTCTAACCATGGCTCCTTTCTCTCGGTGCGGCGGCGGGCCTGCTATAACTCCGTGCTTCTTCCGAACCTAAAAGCCCAGGCTGGATTGACTAATCTGGATGTCTCAACCCCGGGCGCTTACTTCGGCGTTCAGAGCTTCTCGCAGAATTCCCCTCAAGGCAATCATTCCCAGCGGTCATCGTCGATCCTCTCCGAACCACACGTGATCAGTAAGGCAAGAACCATAATATGACAGAGTTCAAGATCGACCAGCGCTTCCCCTCGGAGTCGGCTTTCAGCGCTGTTTCAAGTCTCTGACACACCGCATGCATTTCGCTCTAATATTACTCGGCGCAAGTATGGATCGTTCGATCGGGAAGGTCTCTCATTGCCGTCGAACCACCTTAGAGATCAGAGGACGCAGGCATGTGACGTTTTCACACATGTGGACTGGAGATACTGTGCACTCTTCACTACCGCGATGTCATCCTTCTTCGTCAACCTGGCAAGCATCTTGTCTTGAAATCAAAGTGCCCTCACCGTTGAACAACACGAAACACCGGAGAAATGCCGGGGGAACCGTGCACTATCCTTCCGGCCGTAGAAATTCATCCCGGAAACGACACCGTTCCCTCATTGTTCATTTCCCACTTCCCGTATCTTCCCCCGCACCGCAAGATCGAACCCCAACGACCCCTAAAATGCTGATGTCAGGAACTCACAACACCAAGCACGCAACACCTGGTAAACCGAAGACCCCGAAGAATCCGGCAGAGTCACTTGATGTCATCATCTCCCCCTTCCCCTTCTGCTCCCTTTCCACCGAGGTGGGAAACCAGCTATTCTAGATGTTGATCCTCTGTCGGGTCGAGAGCGGGGGGTGCAACCCTGCCTCTATATATAGGAGGGTGGCGTGCTCTACGGCAGTATTGGATCAGGACACTCGGGAAGCATAGTGTCATCGCATCATACAAGCACAAGGTGCTCAGGGACAAAGGCCCGGGAGTAAGGGGTTCGTCATTGTCCACCCTTGCGACCCTTTGAACCCCCGCCGAGAGTGTTACCGCACTCTCTGCGCGACCCGCAGTATCCCATGCGGGAAGGGCGAGCACAGAGGGTATGGGAAGGAGAGACGGTATGGGCAGACCGGGCGACAGAGAGGGGAAATGCGTGCCTGTACCTAGATTGATCGGCTCTGTCTCGGGAGTTCGGGCGCTTTACGCTCGGCGGGGTATCGGCCCGTCCGATCTGAGTCGCAAGCTCTTCCCGTTCCTATCCCCCTTTCCTGTTGCATTTCTTGTTTCAGTTCGGTCTGGATCAAAAGGACCCACTGACGTCAATTGACTCTGGTATGCTCCGAGGGTAGGGGTGGACGATCGGTGGGTGAGGGCGGAATCAGTCGGCAACCGGAGCAGGATATCCAGCTGTGGAAATGGAATGTCTGCCAGGAGGAAGGGGGCGGCATACAGGGTAGACAAGGAAGGGACATCGTTCCCAAGCCCATATCACCCGATGTGCAAGCCTATCGCCCGATGCTGATCTCCTTCCCTACCCCATGCATCTCTTCTTTGCTGGGCGTAGCGTCACGCGCTAACCTAGGTGATGAGGAGCGGAGTTGGGTGATCTTTCTTGCTACGGAGTGGGAGTGGGATGATCCTCCAAGTCCGACCGAGTTGGAGAAAGTTGGTTGTCCAGTTTGGTGTCTACGGGATTATAAGAAGTAACCCTGAGTTTACCGTTGTTGATCCGAGTGCATTCCCAGATATTGTCCAGCCCGCAAGTGCTACATTGGGAGTAGGGATAGATAGATGTTCGTGTGATCACCGTTTCCTTGGGCGCATCGTGACCGCCGGCTCCGGGGCTCCTTCCGCGAGGGGCCAATCTCGATAACGTCACATGCCACAACATCAGACGCTGTGCTGCTTCTCTGTGCGAGGGCGCCCCTCCTGCTCGGGGGCGAGTGACTACTGTGTACGGTATGTATCCTATGGTGAATGTTCATACTTTCCATTTAAGGATATGTTGTAGTCTTCCCCCTTGACACCTTCTACAAGTGATCTGATGCATACACTTACTCTAACGCTGGTTAATTCCCTTTTCCGGGTATTCTCCCTTTCCGCCGAACCCGATGAATAGATCGACATGAGACAAGGTCAACACACAGACATCGACACACATATAAACCCCCATCGGTGGGTGATACATACCGATCACCCGATCACCCGATCACCTCCCTTCCTCTCTTCCTCCTTCCCTCTCCTCCTCCTCCTCCTCCTCCTCATGTCACCACCAATGGCCCTCCTCTCCCCGCTCACCGTCCCCCCCACCTCCCTCAGCCAGATGCACTCCCGCCCACCGCCCGGACCCCCCTCACCGGGAAAACAGAGACCAACAATCGTCCTCGTCCCCGGGGCATGGCACACCTCTCTCGTCTGGGCTTCCCTCATCTCTCTCCTCTCAGCTGCAGGCTACCCGTGTGTGACCCTCGACCTCCCTTCTGTTGGAGGGCGGGTAACAAGCATGCAAGAAGATACAGATGCAGTGCACGTCCTGCTCTCTCGGCTCGTGCGTGCAGGGAAGGACGTGGTAGTCGTCATGCACTCCTATGGCGGGCTACCAGGTGCAGCCGCAGTCAAGGGGCTAGGAAAGGTCGACCAGAGGCAGGGAGGTGTCATACAGCTCGTCTTCCTCGGGTCGTTCTTGCTCGACAAGGGAATAGCCGCACTGGACCTTTTGAAGGGAACGCTGCCTTACTGGGTCGAGCTCATAGACGGTGTATGTAGCCCTTATTTTTTTGCGTCTCTTGTGGGCTTATGAGATGACAGGGAACGTTCCTTCGCTGTACATGCCCGGAAGATGTGTGGTACCAAGATCTCTCGCCCGAAGAACAATCTCGATGGGCAGCGTTGCTCAAACCCCAGTGTACGGTGTATGTCACCTTACATCTCCCACTTTCATTTTCCTAGATTTGCTCACCGACGGGTAGGACATTCACTTCCCCCGTTCTTCATCCTGGTTGGAAAGAGATCCCCTCCACGTACCTCATTACCCAACAGGACAAGGCCGTTCCCCCTTGGATACAGGAAGAGATGGTCGTCTCTGCGCGTCGGGCCATGACTACCTGCAAGTGCAGCAACCCCGTTTGCAACCCGGGCTCCCATTCCAGTCCCGGGATTGCGTTCAGCGGAAGGGGCGGGATGATCAGGATAGAGCGATCTGATAGCGGACACGCGGTGATGCTCTCCCATCCTGAGGAAGTATGTCGAGTTATTCGGCGTGCAGCGGGGGAAGAAGTCTAGGATTTTCCCTTTCTTTCGGTTGCAATGCACGGTTGAGGTAGCTTATCTTAGTTGACGGGAGTGCGGGCAGCTCTGCGCCCCAAGACGTGGGGTCCGGGAAGTACTTTAGAACATTTGCGGCTCTTCGTTTGATGAAGGGACTACTTATTTATTGTTGGTATTAATGAGTCCGGGAGAAGTCATAGACACTTCAAGCCCATCGTAATCGCTCAGGCTTGTGAGATACATCTGCTGTCAGAGGCGAGAAAGTCCCAAATGTCAGAAATTGTTCGGGTGGCCACTGGGACACTCCGAGCTTCGCGAACTTTGAATACTCGCAATTTCGCATCTTCACCTTCTTGCCTTCCTGAATTCGCGAAGGGTATCTAGACACGAGTCCAGATCTAGATTGGGCCCCTTAACCACTGAGCGTGATTGCGTGATTCACTGCCAGTGGGGCAAGGTGCGCTGCCCCCTACATATTCGGGAGCTCCGCCGGCCACCTTTTAGGGAAGGAGGGCCACTTGCGGGTGTACTTTATATAGACGTGCAGGCGCGGTTTCTGGTAGGTAACTCGGCAGTTGCCAGATGAACAAGGTGTTGCACTCGCAAAGAACGTGCCGTCGCTGTCGGTGGTTCACGAGCTCTTGCCATGGTTGCCAGCGCATGATGCATATACGAACTTGGCCCGGAACGCAATAAGCTGACACATCCCAAGGCGCCCGTGGAGCAAAGATCAAGAGCAAGACAAGTAGTCACTCTGCATGTATAGCGACATCCGAGAGCGACACGGTCACAAGTCCACATGGCGTAGGGATACAAATCTTCGTTCATGAGTATGGTTGGCCATTCTTGGCCTGTCTATTCCTTCCGGGCGGGCAAACCGCTCTAGAGCGGATCTTCCTTGGTGAGCGCTTGGGGAGGTCGTCATCCCCCGGCATAAGGTCGGGGCTTACTTAAGCCTCGAGGCTCCGCTGGCCTTCCAGGCGCTTAGCACGTAGTCAACGATCTCGTCCACCCCGTCCCCGTGCTTGATCGAGGTGAACACTGTGGGACCGTTGTCCCGGATCTTGGCCGCGTCCCGGGCCATCACTTCGAGCGATGCGCCGACGTAGGGTGCGAGATCGGTCTGGGGAGGTTAGCGTGAGAAAGATTGAGGACACGGGTCATACCTTGTTGATCACGAGTAGATCAGACTGCGACACGGATGAGCACGTGCGAGGCGGGGAAAGAGGTTGTACTGACCTGCGAGATACCCGGCCCGCCTTTTCGTGGGATCTTGTCACCCCCTGATACATCAATCTATGAGATTTTGTCAGGAGTTTATGCATCAGAGGAACAGAATAACGCACAACATAGATGATGTAGTCCGCCAGCTCTCGAGAATAATTGGCTGCGGTATCATTAGTGCCATCTCACGGACATAAGCAACCTCACGCACCAGCTAAATTATCACCGCCACTCTCGACAAACAGCAGCTGACATCCGAATTCGGCCTGCAGCTCTTCCAGCGCATGCAGATTCGCCGAGATGTCTTCTCGGATTGCTGCGTGCGGACACCCACCGGTTTCGATAGCCCGGATGCGTTCGGCGGGGAGAGCATTGTTCTTGATCAGAAACTCCTGGTCTTCGCGCGTAAAGATGTCGTTAGTTGTCACACCTATGTAAGGAAATCAGAAGTCGCTGAGAAGATAATACGAATCACGGACCGATATTAAACCTGTCTCGCAACTTCTGGCACAATGCGAGCGTAAGCGCCGTCTTCCCGGAGCCTACAGGTCTGTGGACTAATCAGCGCACATGGAAGCGCATATACCTGCCGCGCACCCTCCAATGCCAATAGTGAATCCCCTCTCCTTGAAGTCTCGATGGTTATAATCGGGAAGAACACGATCTCCGAATTTCCCTGAATATCTGTTAGCTTCGTCATCGCCGCGGCCGCCTCAAGTCTGACTCACCGGCGTGTTCCAGATGCTCATGCGTGTGCCCGTGCTCCAGAGGTGTCCAGGTTCCAGGCTGCGCGTACTCGTCGTCCAGCGCAAAGAACTGGCGCGAGTGATTGTGCATGTGGTACGTGAAGCCGTCGTGGGTGTGCGTCCCAGACGAGCCCGGTTGAGGAGAGACTGACAGAGAGCTGGTGTGATCCTCGAATCTGCAGGTATCGGCCATTACCGCTAGTCGAGAGAGAAGCAGACAGGCTGTCGTTCAAGGTGAACAACGGCGACAGGAATGGTAAAGAAGAGAGCGGCGAGGGCGTCCGAGAGCGCTGTGGTTGATGAGCATATACGGTGGTGACCTCTGTGTGTACCCCGTGCACGGTGCACTTCCCCGCGTGGAGGTAACACGGCCCGACCCGTGCTTCCCCTGTCTCCCCCGCCTGTTCCCCAATTGTCTTCTCCACATTGTTTTAATTATTCAAACTGCATTACACCCCACACTCGTTTCAACGTCCAAGTACTCCCACCCCTGATATTTGACAGCTTAATGTACATCCGAGTGGGTAGTCGACCCTTCGCTTGCTCTAAAGTGCCCCTACTCACGCCCAAAAGACGCGCTATCACTAATCGCCCGGTTCCATCTTCTCTTCTCAGGCATACTAATCAACAATGTTTAATAGCTTGATTGTACCGGCAACAACTATCTGTCTGCATCCTTTCGCCCTAACCTATTCCCACAAGTTGGCATGTGTAAATCGCCTCGCCTGGTTGGCAGCGCTCGGCCTCCGCGCAAAAAGTTCGGGAACCATGTCCTTTCACATTCTGCTTCCTTCGTTAAAAACAAACAACTCCGATCTTGCTAGTTCAGTGGCTTTGCTTCGGACATTACGTGTGTTAACGATCATCTCTTCGGTAGTGGATTCTTCGCCATTTCAACCATTCGTCCGCAGACCCTTCTCGTCACTAGGATCCAAACCCCTGGGTTCAAGACCTAGAAGTCCCTGGGCAACGAGTTGTCCCAGGCTTTGGCAGGGAGAAATTCCCGTTTACTTCCGCCTAAACTTCCTGTTAAGGAAATTTGTTAAATGGTTTTAGCGAATCACGCGTGCCTCCCTGGAGAGCCATCAGGATTCGTCTGAATCGGCCAAAAATGCGCTTCCATGTCCGGACATTTTTAGGGTCCGTGGCCAGTGGAAGGAGTAATTTCCTCCGATGCCCCCTCTGTGGAGACAATCTTCCTATAATGCCCCTCCAGAGGCAATTGCCCTAAATGCCCCTCTTCTTCAGAGGTATTTCCTCTGATGCCCTGTTTTCAGAAACAAAATACCTGTTATGCCCCTCTGGGCAGCATTTTCCCCAAATGCCCCATCTTCTTCAAGGGATCACAGTGTTAGCAGCTGAGAAGCCTGTAGAGAAGCCTGGAGAAGCCTGCCTAAAATCCCTGAAGTGTGAAAGGGTAGCTCAGGGGTCCAATTCATAAGCATGCTCATTTATCTGAGAATACACTCTGTGAAAAATCAAAAGAAGTCTCTCTAGATGTCTTGTTATTTATATCTATTGATTTTTTTCTTTGATTTCCTTTCTTTTGTAATTTTCTAAGTGAGTTAAGAATTAACTCTGGTCAAGCAGAGGCCAGGACCCCTAGGTGACCCATTTTCCCCTTTGGGGATTTCTGCACAGCTTCTAAGCTACTAATGCCATGATCCCTTGAAGAAGAGGGCATTGGGGTAAAATGTGTCCAGAGGGGCATAACAGGTATTTTGTTCCTGAAAATGGGGCATCAGAGGAAATACCTCCTCTTCTTCACATTTGCATGTCATTGTTGTGGCAGTGAGAAAGAAAAGCATAATTAACTAGTTCAGGGGTCCCACAATCTTTCATTGTTATAGTATGGAAAAAGTTGCATAATCAAAGAACAAAAGCTATCTCAGTCATTTTGGTACATTGCTGTTACTATAACCTTCTAATACCAGCCTCTACTTAGGAGCATATATTTTAATTTATTGATAACACCCTATGTAAATTATTATTGGAAGACCCCTAAACACTCTCATTTATGAGTTTCCTGTCACTGCCACAATGACGACATGCAAATATGCAGCACATGTGAAGAACAGGGGCATTTAGGGCAATTGCCTCTGGAGGGGCATTGTAGGAATATTGTCTCTGCAGGGGGGGCATCAGAGGAAATTACTCCTGGTGGAAGCAATTAGGTTCCATAGGGAATGGATGTATTAAGATTTGGTTCCTTACTTCCGTGGACAGCCACTGGACTCTGGTAACTCCAGTAACTCCATTAACTCCATTAACTCTGTTAACTCCAGTAACTCTGTTAACTCCAGTAACTCTGTTAACTCTGGTAACTCCATTAACACTGGTAACACTGGTAACTCTGGTAACTCCGGTAACTTTGTTAACTCTGTTAATGCTGGTAATGCTGGTAACACTGGTAATACTACACAGCACCCCCATGTCAGGCCGGATTCCATCCATTTCACCACTAGGGTCTGTCCTGGTCCTCCTCCCATTATTGCCTGTTGTCCCTATGGATTTTTAAGGTTCTGCACATGGATCCTGCCAAATTCCATGCACCCAACCTATTGACGTTTACCCTGCCCCATCAGCTTGCATTCTGCCATATATTATCACTATTCATGATAATAATAATATATATGCTGCTTCATAATAGACAATATCCATATGCATATTAAACAATCAATAACATAAGTAATATCAGGATAATCCACCTCTTCCCTATGTGGGAAAGAGTTGCATTGAACTCCCACTTCCTCCTCCCCTCCTTCAGCTTCACCACTCTTACCCCACTCAATCTGCTCCCTCCAGCACATCCTCTCCTCTGACACCCACTTTCTCTGCAGCCCATTGCCAAAGGGGTGTTACATCTGCAGCTCTGCTTGGACAATTTGATCCATTTGGTTTTTGCTCCAGATTGCAGTTTAGAACATGAGTGAACACACTATTCAGATATCAGTTCTCAGAGGACACCACTTAACAGGGTGTTCAAGGCTCACTCATGGATGTGAACTCAAAGATGACTAATGGGTAGTTTGTCTGGGGCAGATGTCTTTAATAGAGTATCAAAGAACCTCCTTTTTTAAAGTATGTTTAAAATGGATGTCATTCCCAAACCTTGAGGCCATCCCTGTAATGCACTGGTCCAGATATGGCCAGTAGTCCTTTGGTGTTTTCTCCCCCTCTGCCTCTTCACTCCCCCCTGGCTCTGTGCAAGTGTTGTGCTCCTCCAAGGTTTTCCTCTGGGGCAATATGAGAACCTGTCAGGGCACCAGCTCATTGCTTGGTCAAGAGACATGACTAAGCCTTTATGACATGGAAGTAGCTGGTATACCTTGGCATGTGCTGGAACCTGCTGGAAGGATTGGATGGTCAGGTGACCTGCTGTGCATGGCTGTGCATGACCTCATATGACCTCATCCTTGGTCATATGACCTGATCACCTGACTAGGCTGAGTAAGCAAGATGTTCTAGCAGGTTCCACCACAGAGGTATAAATATAAGGCCTACTCTGCCTGGGACTGTCTCTTCAGACTTGGTCTCTTAGGATCATCCACAGATACCTATACTGTAGATAGGTCTTAGTCATCAGGTCTACTCCACTTCCTTGTTGCCTGCTTAGACTCTTGGCACTCTTAGGTGAGCAGACTTAGTCAGCCTGTGTTGCCCTAACAGAAGACCAA